TCACAAAAAAGAAAAGATTTTTTTTTTACAAAACTATTTTTCGCTTCATTAGAATCACGCAAAAATAATCTACGCTCTTTTTATTAATAATTAATTGAGTATTTCTATATCTATTTAAATCCAGTAGGTTTTCCTCAATCAATCAGCTATCAGTATGCAATAAATACAATTATTCATATTTAAAAAATTTCTAAAAATTCTGATTTGAATGTCAAATTAGTTGAATTATATGTTAGATTTATCTGAAAGCAAATATGTACAGTAGCTTATATAAGTGTAGATTGTAGATACTTTAGGTCACAATATTTTAATATCCATTCATAATTTTTTTTGAAAAAAAAAAAAATAGAACAAGAAAGAAATGGAAAATTTAAAAATGGAAATATTTTATCTTTTCGATCGTTGATTTCTGGTTTGATAAATATAATATGGTTTATATTGTGTATACTCTTGTGCATATATGGGTTTGTTTTGACCAACCCAATCTAATATAATGAGAGTGGAACGTAATTAAAAATTTAAATAAATTTTTCGTTACTAGTGTAAGTGTTGTATGGAATTGAAAATTTTATTATTTTAGAACTTTTTATGTACTTAATGCTGTAAGCTTTAAATATTTTTGGGATTTATTGTAATGGTTTTCTTGATAATAATTGGATTTTCTTAACTAATTAATTTTTCTATTCAAAACTAATAAAATCAGAACCCGTAAATCAAGGTTTATAAAATTTGTAGAATTTTAAATGTTCAGTTATACGCACGTTCACACGTCAGCATATTCACTGATTCTGTTTTATCAGAAATAAATGGTGGTTCTTTTTTCGTGGGCATTAAAATTCACAAATGTTTACATATCAAACCCTTCCTAAACCCTGGCCTAACGTGGTTAACGTATTTTAAGCTTTGGCTTGATTCTAAACTGCAAGAAAAAACAAGGCTGAAATCAAAATATTTTTCAGACATCAATAAAAGAAGATTGGTTTGGAAAAGATAAAACTAGATGTAAAAGCAATGAAGGGGAAATTTTAACTTAACTGTATTAAACTTTTAGTTTTAAAAAATTATTTGATTTTGACCACTCTAATACAATTACTATGCAAATGAAAAACTTATGGAAATTTTTTCATCACTATATAAAATATCATTTAAAAAAAAAAATGACTTCAACTTTTTAATATTTAAGTTTGGTAATTCATCAGTTCTTGATATTTTGCTATAGCTGAAATTAACTGAGACCATTGTGAAAGTTCATTATGTAGAAACCTACATATTATGTTGTGTGATTTGTCTTTTGTTTTAGATTTATTTGAGATATAATAGTATATTAGATATAGAACGCAATGTGTACGATGCAGAAACATAATAAAAATATAAATATAGTATTTTGAAATTTTTCAATAGTTAGAGAAAAAAAATTAGAAATGCTGGATAAAGCTTGATTTAGTTAATTTTTATAATTAATTTTTGATGATTTCGTTGTTTCATATTTTTATTTCAAATTTTGTTACTACTCGTAAAATTCTCGTGTATCACAAATATTTAATTAAAACGATACCAGTATTAATGAATAATTTTGAGAGTTGCATTCGTAATTGCCACCATCTTTGACACGACCTATTGTTTTTTTTTTGCTATTATGAAAATCATTGTTACCTCATGCCAAAGAGAATTTACTGTTATGTCAAGGATTTAGTGTCATGTCAGCACTATTCGGTATATTTTCTGTATTATACGGCTAAATGATCGATGTTTTATGGTCGCTAGTACTAGAATTCAAGAAATTTCAACTAATTTTATCAAATGTAAGAGCCCTAATAAAATATTTGCTTGTGCAAAATTTCAATATTGTAGATTCTATATAATTTTTGAGATTTTAGCTAGATAACTTTTAAATTTGTATGGTTTGTTATTAACGCTTATGATATCTTCAGCAGCTTTCATCGGAAATACTGGCCATGTTACCACATTTGTTTTTTGAAAAATTTCAGTACCGTATGTATGACTTTTTAAGTTGTCTGGCACTTATTCGAACCACGGCCTTGATCACATCTAATTTGAATAGGATTCTCACATTTACAATTATAAATCATTTGTCAAAATTTGGTGTGCTTAGCTCAATTAGTTTTTGGGTTATCGTCAGCAAGGAAAGATAGACATGGTTAAACGATTCAAAATTCGACGCTAATCAAAAACATGTATTTATATCTATATTTCAGACTATTTTTTCTTAGCGTTACAAACGGTAAGCCAAATTAACAGTTATAAATAAGTAGATTTAAGCATTAGTAGTAAAAACACTTTAAAATTTATTTTATTTTATTTTGGCTTCTGAAAAATATCCTTATTAAATTATTCCCAAATACTTTTAAGTAATTTTATAATTAAAGTTAGTAGGAAATTATTTCAAAATGAATTGTAAGTACTCTAATTAGATATTTGTGTATTAGACTAATTGAGTATTATTTCGCATCCTTTCGCCTCTGATTACTTTAATCGAAATTAGTAGTTTGGAAGTGTGACTCATTTATATATAAGAAAAATATTAAAGCAATCAATCTATCAGGACTAAAGTTCGTAATAACATGTCGGATTTCTCCTGTACATCGGGAATTTCTCTTATATATCAATAATGCAATTATGATAAGACAAAGATATCATCTTCTATTCATTTTAGAATTGAACGCCCTCAACAATATCGGAAATCTTTTATTTTATTTCGTATTATTAATGAAGTTGGTAACCCCAAATTTACTATTGTAATCTAATGATCAAAATGATTGTGTCAATCATTTGACATTGTTGTTGGTTCTTTTTTTTATTGTATTTTTGAAATTTCCATTTTTTTTTGTTTTTTTATAGTTTACGCTCATATTTTTTGTTTTGATTATTTCGTTTATTGTTTGTGTTGCCGAATTGAGCAATACTATATAAAATGACCAGTTCTATTGGGATTAATTGCAGAATTTTGATTTTCACTTTTTCTTTTTCTTTTTTGCTTGTTCATTATTTTTTTTTCATTTTAAATTTTAGTTTCAGTTGAAAAAGATTGAGTTGTGAGTTACAAAAATAATGACCATTTTTTTTTTTAAATGTCCAGAATAAATACGAAAAATTTTTAATTGCTTTTGGGATTTTTTTTTTTTTTTTGAAAAAAAAATACTCTTATTTTGTTGTACTTTAATTTCATCAAATTTATTGCAATTAAATCCTTAAGAGAATTTACGTATATGCACATATATGTACATACAAACACACATATGAATTTCTTGTGCATTTTAAACTGATATACCAATATTATAGCTCGAAATTGCATATGCATTTGAAATACATGCATTCATGATTGAAATATATTATATATTGTGTGTGTGTGTATGAAATACAGGGGTTGTGCCAATGATTGAACGGATTTTGTGGTAACATTATGCAATAATTTAACTGTTAAAAAAAAAATGTCACAAAATATTTAAATGCAAAAATATTTAAATTTTCTGAAAAAAATATAAGGATATTAAATGTGTTTGATTAAAAAAAAAAATATAAATTTTATATTATGCATTAAAGGTGATTGCAATTTCAAGAGGATTTAAGAGTTTGTGTATTTTTTTAAAAATAATTACAAAATAGAAAAAAATTTTAAATGATTTCAAAAAAAAAAAAACCTTAAAAATACTTCATTCCAAGTATAATGAGAAGTGAAATTTTTAAAATTATTTATTGTATGTATGTATGACTGTGGTGTTCCATGCGGAATATGTACACAAATTATATAACCACAAAGTATATATATGGTGTTTAAGTGCTCCTATAACCAAAAATTCCATTTTCATTAAATTTTTTGTGTTGAGCAAAATTTTAGAATTTTATTTGTATTTTTGTAATTTTTAAATTTTAAATATTTATTTTTTTGATATTGAAAATTTTAAAATTTATTTCGTCTTATACTAGAAAAATATTTGGGAAGTGAACACTGTGGAAGCATAAAATTCTTAAAATAAATATTGCTATTTTTTAAAAGAACCTTAATAATTTTTACTTTATAGATTTTCTGCAATAATCTGTTGTTTATTCCTCCAACAAGTATTCCAGCAAATATAGTTTTTATTTTCTACCGCTGGAACATTTTGAATAAAAACCAGACCAATCCTTAATAATGCCAACTTTTTAATTATACAGGAATTCCGGATTTCATTTTATGAAATTCTGGAATTCACATTTTGATAAAAATTGGGTTCCCTAAGGTAGTCTTTAAAGAAATTTTCCTCAGAATAATTACGTTTGGAATGGAGATAACTGAATGTTTCCTATTAAATGGGTGAAAGAGCTCGGTTTATTATTTGCTTTAGTTATTTCTCAAAATTGTTTTTGTTAGTGAATTCTTTTTTCTTTCCTTATGTAAATTGCTGTTTTAGCACAATATGTTCCAGTTTAATGGAACGGCAATAAGAAGATATGCGCTACATGTAAGACTGACTCAGGTAATTTTTTCTATGGTAATTATTTCCCAATAGACTATATTAAAACACCTGATTATTATCAAATTAATATAGTAATTTACGAAATATAAAAATTTGATTAACACTTTGATTAATTCTAAAGTATATTTTTTTTCCTATTATCAATTAGATATTTTCCTAGTATGAAGTTCACCTGCATGTAAACGAAAATTGAACACTTGTATTTTTCAAATATCATAAATATTTTTAAATCAATCAAAAGTTCTTAAGTCTGTATAATATACAATAATATCAAAGTAATTAAAATTCTAAAATAAAAAAAAAAACCAAAAGTTTAATAAAACTTCAGTATACAAGAGTAGAAAAATCCATTTTTAACAAAAGTCTATAATCCGCACTGATAGTATTATCAAACAGCTGGAACGCAAACATATTTTATATTTAAACACGCACAAGGTATATTCCGTTTCGTATCTACATAGTATAGAATGTTATGTGTGATAACATTATCCGATAACACTTATCATATTTCAAAAATTTTCTATATAAGAAAGTGTTAAAATTTTAAAAAAAGTTTTACAATTTGTGGAACATTGGTCTAAGGGTCAACTAAAAATATGAATACAAAACTGTGCGTGATTTTTGTTACACTATTGAGTTTGGCATTTGCCAATACTCTAACCAAATATGGTATGTTTAATTTATGTTAAATTTTTTTTTTTTGTGAAAAAATTCTTGGATTGTATCTGATTAATTATTATTAAATTTTGTAGATGATAACAAACCTCAATTGTTTAGTATTAATGATCAAATTAAAAAAATGATTGAATTGCTTAAAGATCATATGCCATGTGGAATACCAGAATTAGGTGTACCAGTTTTAGCTCCAATGGAAAAAGATTTTGCTGAATTTCAATATCAACAAAAATTAGCCGAGTAAGTAATCAAGTACAAAATTTAATATAATTAAAGTATAATTGAAATTGCAGTGATGATTTTTATACAAAATTTTTGTGTGATAATTGAAGAAGTCCAACTTTATTTTATAACAGTAATAAGAAAATGGGATGAAAATACAAAATTAGACCATTAATTAAAGGTATACTACAACAATAGTGAGAAAGAGTATATAGTATAGCATAAAAGGTTATAATATTGTTTATAATGCGTATATTGTATAATTTCCTTTATTCTTCTAAAGTAATAATTGGAAAAATTTCTCTGTTCATTATACCCGAGGGTATACTAAATTTGCCTTACCCTTTGTAACGCAAAGAAATAATGGACTGAGATATGGACTCAAGTGTACGTTTTTGATCAGCGTCGAATTTTGAGTCGATTTAGCTTTGTCTGTCCCTCTGTTTGTCCCCACGATAACTCAAAAATTAATTGAGCTAAGTTCACCAAATTTTCACAAATTATTTATTGTAGTAAGTGCCAGAACCCTATTTAAATTTCACATGATTGGGATAGTGGTTCGGGTAGCTGCCACACAACTTCGAAAGTTATTTGACTCTATCTTGGAAACTATTAAAGCTGTAATATTGAAATTTCGCACAAGTAAATATATAAGTAGAACCGATGTGTTTGATAAAAATTATTGAAATTGCTTGGCTCTTTCTGGTAGCTGCCATACAACTTCAATAGTAGTTTGGAAAACACAGTGCTGAAATTTTGCTTAAATTAGTATGGTAATACGGCAACTTAAAGTTATAGTCTGTTTCATTGCCAGCTATGGCATATTTATTCGCACATATGATAACAAATTCGTATGGGTATAACAGAGTTGACATGGTCAATTCTATTATGTCTCGTTTTTAAAATAAAACTAATCACGAATTAACTCAATTGTTCAATTTGTATTGTGGCAAATTTCACTTTTTAAAAAATTTAAAAAATTTGATTTATTCCTTTTGTTTGGAATTCATCTTTTATGTATGAAAATTATTTAGTGTAGAAACTCCTAATATAATTTACAGAGTTGATTTTTAATCTGAAATTCTATGTTACAAGGTGTGGTAATTTGAGTTTTTTTTCACCATGCGTTGAATTATGAAACGTAATATATTATTAAAAAAATTTGGTTTATTTACAAACAGTATTGCTACAGGGTTTTTCAATAGATGTTTTAATAATTGGATAAAAACTTGATATATGCATTGAAACTGACATCGTATGTGCCATACAACGTACCCTCTAATTTAAATTATTCGATATGGTGAAAGATTTGAACTAAATTTTACATATTCTTTTATATTTTCCTTAATATTTTGCTAAAGGGTTCTGGGATTTTTATGAAATAGAAAAAAAAACAAAATCCTGATAATCACCATAATTTATAATCGGGATATTCGGGATGTTTTACAGCTATTGCTCAAAAAAAAAAAAATTATAAATTGACAAAACTTGGATGATCCTATATTATATGCAAATATGTGAATAGAAAACAAAATACGATTAGTGTTATACAAAATGCTGTACTTTTAAGAAATTTTATATTTTTCTAAAAGCAATTTTAACTTTTAAATTCTTGGAAAAACAACAAAATTTTCTTTTCTTTTTTTAACATTTGCTGAATTTCATTTTTATAAGCATTTTAAATTTTTTTTTATCTGTGCAGTGTTTGATTTTATTGAGGCTACGCTTTGAGGTGAAAATTTCAAAGAAAATATACTTATATAATCTTATAAAAAGTGTATGGAGTATAAAGTTTTATTTGATTATGGAAAAAAAAAACAAAAGAAAAATGTTGAATTTATAACATACTATATTCGTTTATAATGTGCATATTTTATTGACAGAATCAAAATGTTTGTTTGTGTTTCGGAAATCGGAACAGGAAAATTGTGTAATGGCTATGTATATTACCGAAATCATTTCGTAAAATTTCGACAAATTTTCGTAAAATCTCGTTGTATAGAATTGCTAAATTTTCTTACCAAAATGAAGTTTTATTTTTTACTGCTATGTTGATTTTTTTAGGAAAATTAAAAAGAGGAAGTTTGGCAATTATTGGCAAAAAAAAAGAAATAAAAAAAAAATTAGCTAATCTGACAAAATGTGTGAAAACAACTTTATCAATTGATTTCATAAGCCGACCTCTAACAAACACTGTATTAATTTATGTGTCTAGAATTAGATTAGAGCTCAGAATTTAGATATTAATATCATAAGTCATAATGACTTAGAAATAACCATGACAAACGTTTGCTTTTTGACTATTCATAATTTCTTGCTTATACGATATGCTTTTTAAAAGAATTTTCTTACGCCAGTACGAGAAATTATTTTGTATTTAAAAAAAAAAAATAAAATAAGGAAACTGCAAAATGAATTTCTTTGAAAATTCTTAGATTTGGTGAAGGTATTCAATCGGCAATAATTAATTTTAACAAGTATGACATACAATACCTTAATGTATGAAAATAAATAAATAAAAAAGTAACAAATTTCTTTGTTCTCTCTTTGTTTTTTTTACTAATGAAGTGATCGATTAAGGTGTAAGCAATAAAAAATCATCTTAAAAAAATTATCCTTAAGATGATTCCAAAAAAAAAAAATTTTTTTTTCAAAGGAAATTTATACATATATTATTGTTTTAAGAAATGTTTGAAACATTGTCAACTGTGAAATAAGTATGATAAGTGTTGTATTAAGCAAATCACCTTGAATGCGTGAGTGCATAAAATTTACTGAATTTTTTAAATTTTACTCCTTAATTAATAAATTTCTCATCTGGAGTCTTTTTTTTTTTCAAATAATTAAATTTTATTTTTCAGTTGCACATGATAATTAATAAATTGTATTATTTTTTTTTTCTTGTTTAATTCTCAGAATTATTGTCAACATGTTTGATTTGAATGTAGATGGTTTAAATAATTTCGAAGTAAATAGCGTTTCATTAAGTGTTTTAACATTAAAATTGAAATTTGATTTTACATTTAAAGAAATTCAAGCTAAATCACAATATGTTGCAAATGCTATATTATTAAAAATATTGAGAATTAAAGGTAATGGTGATGCTGATATTACATTAAAAGATTTACGTATTGTTGGTGAAGCACAAATTGGTTCAAATAGTACAACAAAAGATCTATATTTAAGAGATTTTAAAGCAACAATTGTTTTGGGACAATTTAAATCTGATATTACTGGTTTATTATGGGGTAAATTAACTGGTAAATTAGCAAATGCAGCTATTGAAAAAGCTGTACCATTATTATTAAAACATAGACATGATGATGTTGTTGATATTGTACGTGGTGTTGTAACTGAAATTGTTAATGCAAAATTAAAAGGTTTAACAATTAAAGATTTATTAGATTTAATTAATAATTTCCCAGAATTGGAAGAATGTAATCCACCAGCAATCAAACAATATGAAACATATGGTTTAGAAGAACTTGAAAAATTGGTAAAAGCATTGTAAAAAACAAAACCAACATGAAAATTTAAAAATGATTTTATTGAAAAAAAAAATAAAATAAAAATCTAAAGATTGTACTTTTTTGTTAAAGAGTTTGTTTTTAAGAGTTTGTAGATTTAAAATATAATGGCCATTGTTCCAGCGTTGGTTTGATTCGTACGCTTATTGTTTGTTTAATACTTTAATCAAACTTGTATGGTGATGATGAAATTCTATATAAAAATCATAATTAAAAATATTTTGTTGATTTTTTCTATAATGCATGAAGTCGAAATTGGAAGCTGTGATTTATTCTGTTTAACCAAAAACTTAATTTCTAATTTTCCTGAATTTGTAATCCTTCAATTATTTAATTGTGATTTACTCAGAAAATATTAAAATTCACAAAAATATTTAAAATTATGACTATTTTACTTAATGGAATGTAATGCACTTAATTATTGTAACTTTAAGACTTACTCCCACTTATGATTTGACAATAATCCTTTAAAAATCGTGAATTTTTTATCTATTCCCAAGCTGCTGAAATCAAGTAACTTTGTTCCTTTTAAAAATATCAAGACTCTTACTGCACTATCAAAAATTTTTCATTTATAAAAATGACTATAAGTGAAACGAGATGTGTTTTACGGCGATTCCAATGGCCTAAATAGCTATGGAATTCAGTTTGTCAGGTCGTATATATGATTGGTTACCTTTCGTTCATATTCTGGTGAGACCATGTTAAGTCACTATGGTTTATAGCAATTTTTTCGTGTTATTCGTGATATATGTAGTTTATCCAAATTTGGCAGTTACTTATAAAAAGCTTTTGTCAGAAAACTTTTCCTTTTTCTCTCTCATTTCATTCTCGGTTAATTGTTTAAGAAAAGAATTTGATTGTATTGTAATTAAATTTTTTTTTTCATTACATAGCAGCTGTCACAATTAATTTTTAGATTTTTCTAGTTATAATGTTTGCATATATTTAGGATATTGAAGATGTTGAATTACTTATTTCGCCTAGTTATATGCAATTAAAAAATCACAGAGTTATCAATTTGTTTGCAAATATTTGTTAACATTATTATGCCAAGGTTATTCAAAAATTTCAAAGTCTTTTCTTAAAGAAATCTAGAAATTCTAGAAAATTAGGCATAGAAGTCGTTGAAGTTGATATTATAGTTGAATTTCCAATTATTTAGCAATTTAATAATTATTATTTTAAAATATAAATCTTCCAAAAATAAGTGTTGCATATCGTTAAAAAATTTACCATTGAAAATTGAAACCGATCATCATAATTTTTAGAATCTTATTTTTAAATTACTTGGAATTCAAGACTACCAAACCTTAAAATTAATCAGAATTTTGCACAGCTGACTGAACATGATTTTAAACAATGCCAGTTAATTTTAATAAGAATAGCAAAATATATACACATGCAAACACAAGGCTCTGAAAACCAACAATGTATACAATGTTTAAACAATCCCCTTATCTCTTCATTTAAGGTAAAAATGCTTTTAAAATTTACCTATATAAGAAAAACCCAATTGATTGTTGCTATTCTTTTCTAGTGAATAACCACCAACAAAGGATGATCTTTTCTTGTTTTTTTTTTTGTTTAATACAAAATGAATAGGAAGTTTGTTTTTTGTTTTTGATGCATTCATTGCCTAACGAGTCAACAAATAAAAACAAAAACTATAAACTTATCCTATCAACCCTAATATTTTATTTATGTATTGGCTGGCCACTTTTACAAGTCAATGACATCATTCAACAAAAAAAAATATAAAATGTATACATTGTTCGTATATCCCCATTCATTCGGAAAGATTCCAAGAAATAAAATTTTAGTTGTCTTCCCTGCGATTGAATTTTCTCACATGTTCATATATCAATAAATATTTAAAAATAATGGCAAAATAAAGGTACTTTATAAAAGAAAAGAGTCAGTGCCGTATAACTTGAATTAAATTGGTGTGATTAAAGTTCTCTTTTTAGAAAAATGAAACACATTCAAAGTTTTTAGATTTTAAACACCGTTTCTATGCCGGCATATACCGCGAGCTTAAAGATAGGAATATTGTATCCACCTTCGAATATCGTGTGAGCAGTCTTACATTTTTATCTGAAAACTCCAGTTACATTCACAGCTATCATGAATACAAGTAATTTTTTGAAACTAATGTTTTATAATGGAATATCTCCCTGTGAGTATCAGAATCATTAGTCGCTTCTATTAAGAGATCTACTAGAGTATCTACTAAAGGATCAATAATCTACAATCCACTTATCTATTTGTTCTACAAAGTCTTTTCGAAATTTACAATGTTATCTCAAGAACCAACTCACAGTACTCTTGTCATTCTATAACTTGGTTCTTTGCCATTCTACTTAAAATTCATAATCAAGCAGTTGAACTCGTCACTGTAAATAAATTAAATTTGGTCTCTGTAGGTATCAAATTTATCCCTGATATTCATTTTATATTACCTATATAATACGTATATATAAGTGAGTGTTTTGTTTTGAACTTATGCATAATATCACATTTGTATATACTTACATGCATATATCAAATTCAATATCAAGGATCCTATACAATTCTCAAATTCACGAGTTTTTAATGGGGTGAAAGAAAGAAGAAAAAATGTAAAAACACCTGGTCTTTTGCCACTCGCTACCAATTTGAGAAATTGTATGCTTCACATTCTTAATTACATTTAACAAAAGATGGAAATAAAAAAAATTTTACTATACATTATGATAATAAAAAATTTACAAAAAAATAATTATAAAAATAATATTGTTAAAATAAAAATTATTATTGTTATTTGCACCAAATTACAGTTTTTTTGATTGATAATTTTTATCAGCTGTTATACAAGAAAATAAAAGAGTTTGGCATATATAGAAAGGATTCTTATCTAAAGGATAGTTTAGATTATAAAAATATTTGCTTTCTAATAGAAAGTGAACTAAACTGGGATGATTGCAGGAAATTTGTAATGACAAATGCAAAGGATACACGCATTTACATTCGTAACATATAAGATACATTGGAATGCTAAATTGATCAAGTTTGTGCTAGAATTATAGAAAAAAAAATAGCAATCAAAGATACAGCTGAGTTTTTATACCCGTACGAACGTATGTTCGAAGGGTATACTAAATTTGCCTTACCGTTTGTAACGCCAAGAAATAACGGTATTAGATATAGACTCAAGTGTATGTTTTTGATCAGCGTCAAATTCTGAGTTGATTTAGCTTTGTCTGTCCGTCCGTCCGTCCGTCCGTCCTTCCGAACGATAACTCAAAAACTAATTGAGCTAAGTTCATCAAATTTTCACAAATAATTTACTGTAGTAAGTGCCAGAACCCTATTTAAATTGGACATGATCGGGGTATCGGTTCGGGTAGCTGCCATACAACTTCAAAATTTATTTGGCTATATCTCAGAAACTATAAAAGTTATGGTATTGAAATTTCACACAAACGAATATATTAGTAGGGCCAATATGCCCCATAAAAGTCGTTGAAATTACTTGGCTCCTTCTGGTACCTGCCATACAACTTCAAAAGTTATTTGGCTATATCTCAGAAACTATAAAAGCTGTGATATTGAGATTTCACACAAGTGGATATATTAGTAGGGCCAATGTTTCTAGTAAAAGTCGTTGAAATTACTTGGCTCCTTCTGGTACCTGCCATACAACTTCAAAAGTTATTTGACTATATTTCAGAAACTATTAAAGCTATGGTATTGAAATTTCACACAAACGAATATATTAGTAGGGCCAATATGCCCCATAAAAGTCGTTGAAATTACTTGGCTCCTTCTGGTACCTGCCATACAACTTCAAAAGTTATTTGACTATATCTCAGAAACTATAAAAGCTGTGATATTGAGATTTCACACAAGTGAGTATATTAGTAGGGCCGATGTGCTTGGTAAAATTCGCTAAAATTTCTTGGCTCTTTCTGGGAGCTGCCATACAACATCAATAGTAGTTTGGCACAACCAGTATTTTGAATAACACATAGTATTGAAATTTTGCATAAATTAATATGGTAATACGGCAACTTAAAGTCATAGTCTGCCCCATAGTTAGTTATGGCACATTAGTTATTCGCACATAGGATAACAAATTCGTACGGGTATCACAGAGTTGACAAGGTCAACTCTATTTTTTTTCTCGTTTGATTTGTAATTATGCTAAAATCCTTGCAAGAAGTTCGCAAACAAAATCTAGATCGAAGAACGAAAAAAAAAACGGAAAATGTCAGTTCTTTTTAAATTTGCGAGCATTCTTGAAGAGTAAAAGAATTCACAGTGAGCAATTTGCTTACTGCATAGGGTTTTAGGTCTGTGAATGATATTGACTTAAATGGATTCTTAATTGAGAAAGCTATTCAAGAAATTCAATATTTTTTAAAAAACATTTTGCATGTACTTACAATTAAAATTTGCGCTATTATTTTGCTTTTTATTAGGCCTTTAAGTACACTTTTAAAAATTTTAATCAAAAGTTTATCAGTACTCAAATTGAATTGGCAATTTCTAAAATCTTTAATAATTTTTGTGAGCACTCAAAGTTTTGAATGTGAAGATTTTCAAATTCGAAAAAAAAAATTCAATTAAATGAATTTTCACTGCCAAACTTGTCTGTGCACCATTTGGATAGCAACGTTTAATTCATACACTATTCAAACACTATGTGATTGACCGCGAATAAAGGCATTGAAATGAGTCTGGCTAAACATTTGTAAAATTCACTTTATATTCGAATGTTATTCATGTCTTGGAAATTATTACTTGTTCAAAATTAAATTCTAAGTCGATCCGGTTATAGCCGTAAGTCCTTCTATAGATTCGCTCATCAAAGAACCTAAAGAGCTATGAGAACGCAAACAGACTTGAAATTTCAAGTTTTAAATATATGCATAATTGGCCCACTCAGACTGGTATCTCCCGTACCTATAATACATAGGCTAGTATAAGTAATAAGGACTATTCTTGAAAAAATCTCCAATATCTCTACAACTTTTGTTTATCTCTACAACATTTTGGCAAAGACCAAAATAAGCTTTTTTATAAATTTTTTTTAAACTCAATTAACTAATATTTTATGGGAACAACTTATAATTTCTCAATTTAGGGTGAAATGCTATGAATTAAAAAAAAAAACGCCATTAATAAACTTTATCATTAATTACTGTTTTAAGAATGGCGTACTTTACTCATAAGAATTAATAGTAATATAATAAGCTTAATATTAATCCGAACATTATAAATAAATATTTTGAACAAAAAAAATTTTTTTTACAGTTTGCTATATTTAACTTAACCATTTAATCCCTAAATATTAAGTTTTTATGGTTATAAAATATAATTTTGAATGTACTCTAACAATAATTCTAATTTTCGACATTACATTCAAATTTTTAAGTTAGCAACTTAATTCAGAAAATTTGAAATATTTTGATATTTGATGTGTAAATGACGAATTACACAAAATTTTGTTGCGAAAGGAAAATTTTTGTTTTTTAATTTATTTCCTAAATTTACACTCATTTTTCATAAAGAATAATTTTAAGACCATACCCATCCGTCTTAGAGTTTTAGGTTTAATAAGAAGTTGAAATTATTAATTTCTGATTTTAAAATTTGATTTTAATCGTGGTTGATCCACTTGTTGTCGGTCTCATTCATCTACAAAATATTTTATTAATGACTAAATTTACTTTCCATATATTTTTCATATTATATGCTTGACTAGTTGTTACAGTTAAGTGGTCATGTTTTTAAGATTGTAGAAGGCATAGTTAAGTATTAATTGTAGAATATTGTTTTGAAGTGTATATAGAAGCACACTTGAATTTAATGAATAAAAAAGGTTTTAATAGTGATAAGAAAGATAGTATTCACATTTTAATTACATGAATTTTGGCTTAACTCGAAAGTATTTGTTCGAGTCACATTAAAAAATGAAAGTTTGTATAGTTTTGTATTTTATTCATTTGATTACAAAACATGTGTGTGTATTCGAAATTATTATGTTCCGATTAAGTTTTTACTTCGACTTTGTAAACAATTCACTTGGTATTTTTTATTTACAAAAGATAATTTCATTGCTTATTTCATTTACAGATAAGTTATTGTTGAGAATATTATGAAATTTGTGTAAAGTGCAATATATAAGTTGCATTGCACACTAGAATTGTGGTGTGTTTTGTTTATAAATAAGACTTTATCTTATGATTTTCAATATCAAAAAACTTTAAGTGTGGTCTTCATACACTCATCTTGAAAATAATACAAATATCTATTTAAATATTTTTTTATATTAAAAGTGCACAAAAATTGTAATCACATTATTTTATATACATTACATATATTTTTGTATCTAACAAATCAAATTGACCGTAAGACCGGAAACGCATGATTGCTCTATTTTGCACTGTTTCGAAGTCATAAGCCTTTATGTAATGAAAGAAAAATTTGGTACCTTTTTTTTCAACAGGCTGTAGCTTGAAAACTACTGTTTCGCCATCCCCTCTTCGCCTCTCTTCACCCACCTATACAAGTTTTTGCTAGAAATCGACCATATAATCATTTCCGAAATTATTTGTCACATTATGTGAAACATCCTGTATGTCTCGCCTTTCCAGTTACCTGTTTTATTTACTTTCAAATAGAAATTTTAGTTTTTCTTTGAACTGTAGAATGTAATTTTACCAATCAGATAAATCATTTTTTCAACTTGTAAATTTTTTTTTTAATTTTTCTCAAAATATTAACTGAACTGGCAAGTTCAAGAAGGTGGCAAACTTCAAAACAAATTGAATGAATGGTGGCCGGCGTCCAAATGTATATAGATTTTTCCACTTGACTGCAATTTCTTCTCACCTTGTGAGTAAAAAGGCGAGGAATTTTAGCGATTATATGGAAAGACTGAATTTTCTTGCGCTATAAAATTTCACAAGATATTTCCATTTTTGTTTTACTTTCCATCATTTGCATATAGTAGTTATAGTGATGGTCAAAAGTTTAATAACTTTATCTTGAATCCTAATCAATTTGTATGAATTGGTTTGTGCTTATAATAAAAATATCCAACTGCTTATACAATTAAAATATTCCAATATCAGATGAACTTGATTTCGAAAAAATTATGTTTTTAATTATTTACGTTATTGTTACATAAACTGTTATTAATTATTACAAAAAAAAACAATTTATTATACTATGGAACCCCTAATAGTTTATTTCAAGTTAATCTAATCATTAGGGGGTAAAAACACAATTTTTGTTAAATACAATTTTTTTGATATACATACGATATACACATACATACATGATTTTTTTAGTACGTCAATGCATAATACATATAAAATTTAAACGTAATATCGTATGATAATTACCCCCTGAATTTTTTAAAAATATTTTTTTTAAATTATTGATACATACATACATACCGAATTAAAATTGAATGGATTATAATTTTTGAGTTAAGGCTATTTATGTTTGTATGTATGACAATAATTTTTTCAATTAAACACATTTACACATAAAATGTAAATTTGTAAAGAATTTATTTTAAAAAAATAAATTGTTTTTGTTTGTGCCCTGGGAATTTCCTAAACCATAAATTTTTTGAATTATTTTTAATTTTATTTTTTTTTTTGGTTTCATTCTTTAAAATACAACTCGTATATATTCCAAATATAAAAAAAATATATATATATTTTTTACAATTATAATGTCATTAAAAGATTCTCCATTTATGATTTAATTATAACCAATTTATTGGCCAATAATGTGCAATAAAAAAAAAAAAGTACGTAAATCATCTTTAATAAATCATTTTTTTTTTCGAATATAATTTAAAGGTACCGCTTAAGCTTCTCAAAACAAATACAAATAAATATCGTAAAAAGTTTTGACAGTCTATGTGCAATATTATCGAATGTTATAAAATTACGATCAATTTTGACATTAACAACATCATATTTTTGGCGATCCTTTCTTAAGGTATAAAGAATTTTGATTGGAACTGCCACCATTTTAATTTTAGGAATTGTAGTACTATATAATTAATATCGTAAAATATGAAATAAAATAAGATTAACGCTTTAAGAAGCACAGATAATTATTGTATCTGTATCAGATATTATTGAATCTCTAATGTAGTGAACCATTTCTTATAAAATAGTTTTCTACACAAGAATTCTGTTATCAGTAAAAATCAATTTTTAAATTTAGATATTAATCCTCAGTTTCTATAAGTAGGTATAAGGTACCCAGAGCTTATTTTCTTTTTTACATATTTGTGGAATCTTTATCCGAATCATCAGCTTTATCATAGCTAAATTAAACAAATGGATAATAATAAAGGATTGAGAATTTTTTTAATTTATCAAATCAGCATTCAATTCATTTTCAATTATGTTTCTTAAATTGATTTAACATTCTAGTTTACCAATTCTTAATATTTCAATTATATTGCTCGGTTTTACTACTTTTGGATATTCTTAAAATCTCTTGAGTAAAAGTTAAAGTTATACATACATTTGAAGATATTTCACTTACCGAACCGTAGCCTAAGATTTTTACCAATTTTATTCTAAAAATCAAAATTTAATTTTTGATATTAGGCATCATAATGTCAATCGATTAAGAAAATCGAAAAATTTTCGCCCTCCTAAATAATGTTTGAAATGTAATATTTTTTATGAACGTACATATGAGACACATAAAAATCACCAAACAATTGTAAGATTGTTTAATAGATTAGCTCCTTTTTATAGCCTTAAAACAATTTTACGCATATCTTTATTATTATCATAACCATCTTATCAATCTAATCGATTACTTTTATGAGGGTATACAAAATTTATTAAATTTTTTTTTTAATAATGATATTTTGTATCTACTTTTTTTTAATATAAAAGTCAATATAATTTTAATCAGAATTTCAGTAGCTTATTAGCAATCTAAATTTTGACATTAAATCTGAGTTTATTTTACACAAAAAACAAAGAAAAGAAAAATGAAATTTTTCACAATTTTTATTTTTGCTATTATTGGCACTTCATTAGCTCATAAACCTATAGAATGTAAGTTATAAAATTAATTTTAATTTTTCAGAATATTAAAAATAATTAATGAACGAATAGGAATATTAAAATTTCTTACTTTAAAATTTTGTTTTTATAGTTGGAATTGCAGATGATGTTCGTGCAGCAATTGAAAATGTTAAAAAACAAATGCCATGTGGATTCCCAGAACATGGTATACCACCATTAGCACCATTTGAACATGAATTCCAAAGTGTTGAATTAGAGCATGATTTAGTTTCGTAAGTGTTTTGTTTGATTTTACTAATTTCAAATATAATTGAATAAATTAATTTATTATTATTATTTTTTTTTTGTAGAATCCTTGGTAATATATCAAATGTATTTGCTATTGGTGCCGATAATTTTGATATTCGTCAATGTTCATTCAGTCTTCTTAAAAGAACTTTAACATTAGAATTAAATTTAAATAATTTCCATGTACAACGTGGTAATTATGTATTGGATGCATTAGCATTTGCCGGTAATAGAGAATTAACAATTAATGGTGCTGGTGATGTTGATTTTTCAATACAAAATGTTAATTTAAAAGCTACAGCTAAATTTGGTATAATTGGTGGTATTAATTTACAAGATTTTCATAGTACATTAGATGTTGGTAGTGTTAAATCACAAATAACTGGTTTAATTGGTGGAGGATTACCAAATGATGTTATTAATTCTGTTATTGAAGAATTAATTCTTACAACAGTTAAAGATCATAGAGCAGAAATTAGTGAAATAATTAAACAAGTGGCAGTACCTTTAATTGAAAAATTCATTAAAGAAATGAAATTTATAGATTTCATGGATGTTGTTACATCAAATCGTAATTTTTATAAATCTTCTTGTGATAAAACTAGTATTTTCTTCTATTAAAAAATTCATAAAAAAATTAAAACAATTTTGCTATTTTATTTTTTTAATTTACAATACTGCAGCTAAAAAAAATCTGATGTTGTCAGCTCATAACCGACCGCAATGTAAATTGTCTAAAGTAAAAGGATTCTAGAAGATTGTGAAAATACTTTTTAAACACTTCTTTACAAGGCACTAATAAGCTTTTACTCGTAGTTAACATACCTAGAAAAATGTGAATTTGGCTCAGAGTTTAATTCTGTGCCGTCCGAATTACTCGAAAATTGAAATTCTATCAATTCGTTCGGTAGACATAATAAAAAATGTAAAATCGGCCCTCAGATCAGTTGCCGAATTTCCAGATCTTTCCAAAAAAATTATAGATTCATTGTTTTAACACCTCGAATTGAAATATTAAATTTCAATGAAATTAAATATTAAATTTCCATGTTTTGCGTACGGTCGAATGAAGCTTACATATATATGAAATTTCAAGTAAATAAGTTTAATATTTTCTTTTAAATGGTGAAAAATGTAAAACAGGCCTACTAAAAAGTGCAGTTCCAAAGCCTGATATATCGCAAAAGTTGATCAATCCGTGGCATAGCCGAAATAGACTTACATAAAAAATTTCATCAAAATCGGTTCACCCGAACTTGAGATTCACGAGTGTACACACAGACAGACAGACAAACAGACCGACAGTTTGCTAAAAATAGTTCATTTACACTTTCCTACTATGGAGGAGTTTGTTCCTAGCGAAAACTCGATATGCAGAATAAAGAATTTCAAATAGAAATAAAGAGCTTTCAAGCGTTATAAAATCAACTGATCTTTGTTTCGCACTAGTATTTCGACTACATGTAACTCAATTCAGTTAATAATGGAAGTGTAATAGATTTAGAAGACTTTTGACCTCATCATTTTTTGTTAAATTGAATCAGAAATTTATTAACACATCACAAATTCAAAAGGAGACTGAATCTCCTTTAATTTCAGCATAATAACAAAGAAATACAAGTCGAGAGAGAATGAATGTAAAAAAATAAGAAAAATAAGAAAATTTTTTTAAAAACTAATGGCGTTTTCGTCTTACAATGAATAAGGTGAATGGTAAGAATTTTAAAAATGGTTACGATTTCAAATATCTTATTAATTATATTTCTTATTTATTATTATTAATATCCCGGTTAGCTTCCTAAATATTTTATTTCTGTATATTTTGTTAGTTTCCAAAAATCTATCATCGAGTTCAAAAAGTTTGAGCATAATTTACACGTTTTCAAGTATATCGGCAATATCCTAGAATAGATCATGTAATACTTAGTTTATTACTTAATCGCTTACTCAATAACTTACTTAATCATTTTTTCAAAATTTCATGCAAATTATTTTGCTTTCCCTTTCCATTTTTCAATATATTTAAAGGAAGAACTTGAAATTTGTAAAAGCGCTCAAAAAATTCTACAATTTATTTCTCCAACAGTATTTTTATTTTCAAAGCATACAATAAAATTACTAATAATTTCGCCTGAGTTTATGCAATTTTTAATTTAAATGTTAGTTTTGTAAAAGATTCGGAATCGTAAGATATGCAACTTACAATGTTATTAATAAAATAAAATATAAATTATTATTTGAAAATAAGAAGCTGAAATGTAATTTTTGTCTTAAAATTAATTATTATCATAAATTTTGCTTTAATTTAATAGAAAAAAAAACAGGTTCAATTTTTCATCAGTTTTATCTTATAAAATAAATGCATTTTATTTTTTAACAAATTTTTTTAAATTATGCAAAATTACAAAAATCTGATTTCATATCTATAAGATGTGAATTTTCACTCTCACAATTTTAAATGTATTAAAAATTTGAATTCTTATAATTAAATAAAATTCATTTATTTCCTTTAGTTTCTATACACTAGAACGTCTTGATCCTTGTGTACCTTGCAAATAATTTTTGATTACATTATTGCAAATTCACCTACATTTATAAAAATTAATATAATTATATGAATTTAAATTTTTGACATAAAATATTTTTAATGATTTTTTAATGAAATCAAGAAAAAACAAATTTTATAAAAGCCTAGCTGTATGCTAAAATATTTTATGAATTTAGATGCTTAAGAATATTTCAATAGAAAATGAAAAATTCTAATATTCTGAGCAAAGAGAAATTACATTTACTGAATACCCTTACTGAATAAATAAGGATAAAAATATTTTATATAGAATAGTGAGTAAAAAATTTTGCATAAATAACTTTTAATTACAATAATTTGCATAGTCCTACTAATTTTCTTATTGAAAAAGAAATTTGTAGGAATTCAAATGATTTTTATACCCGTACGAACGTTTTTGCCTTATCATTTGTAATACTAAATAATGGCCTGAGATATAGACATAGATGTATGTTTAAATAGTGTCGATTTCTGAGTCGATATAATCATGTCTGTCCGTCCGTACCAATGATATCTTAAAAACTATAAGTTATTTATATTAGTAAATAATCCTATTAATATTAAATATTAGTAAATAATCCTGAATTCTATTTAAATTGAATATGGCAATGGCTCAACTTCAGTCGTTATTCGGTTATATTTTAGAAACTACTTAAAGTATAGTACTGAAATTTTATTCAAACAAATATGGTAATATTGTCACTATTTTCGGAAAAATTATAAAATATGTTATCTAGTATATTATGGCCATTATTTGCAGTAGAAATATTTGAGATGGTATGAGTTTGGGTGGTAACTGCCGCATTCGCGTATGTATAAAATAGCAAAAAAACAAAAGGTCATGTGAAAGAGTGTGGCAATTAATATTATCATGCAACTCTTTCACACGACATCTTTTTTTTGTGCTATGTTATCATTCATTCGTGCGGATATCACAAAATTGACACGGTCAACTCTACTTATTCTCGTTTTATTAAAAATGCTAAGGTGAAAATTTTATGATTTTAAATTTCGATATAGTTAAATATGTGTTTATTCAATATAATAAGAAATGTTATTATTTTAATATAACAATATTTGTCTTGTTAGTATAAAAATTATAAAATTCTTTAAAATTTATTACAAAATTATCAGTCAATTATCAATCAAATTTCAATGGAAATATTAAAGAAATCAATTATATTAGTTGAAATTTTGATATTCACTCGATATTGTACTAATTTTCACGTAAATTTTCTGAAAATCTATTACCTATACATTGACAAACAGAGGTGGAACAATTTTTCATCAAAAAGAAATTTATGTGTAAAATTATTGATTGTCATATTCTTAGCCCTGTTAATTTTGCTTCAATAAATAATTTATAATTTTCCATTCCAGTTGTATTTGATTTAATATTTCTTATTTGGTTATTTTATATAATATTTAACCATTCCTCGTTTCAGAAATTTTTAATTGCTTTCATGTCTGTAATCTGTGTGAATAGAAGTTTAAAACATATCTATGTTGGTTCTTTAATTGATTGATGTTTTTTTTGTTAAATCATCCAATTCTTCATTTCCATAAACACTAATGTGACTTGTGATTGGCATAATAGTAAATTTCTTTTTTGAATTCGCATATCATAGTATTTTTCTGTGATTTGTGTAGAATGTTTTTTTATTCCATGAATTGTATTAAGAGAATCATTTGCATATTATTAATCTTTAAAATCATTAATATTAACAGTATTTTTTAAAAATTTATTATTTATATATAAATAATTTCTTAAATTATTACATTATATGCAAATAAAATTATTAAAATTAATATTTAAAATATTATTGTAAATTATAATGTACACACAATATATTAATTATATTCAATAAATTTTGCATCACATATACATATAAAATGAATAAAGAAAATTAAAATTGGAGCAAAAATTTTATCTATATAAACACACATACATACATATAATCCATAATATTGCAAGATTTCAATAAATTTTCACTTTTTAATTAATAAAATATTTTAAATCACTTATTATTCATATATGTGTATATGAAAACCCCAAAAAACCTATCATATCTGCATTATATTTCATTTTATATTAACGTACATTTAAAAAATATAAATACATACATTATAATTATTAAACTGTTATACATGTATAATATATACCGCATAATAAAAATCTCATATACATACTTATATTTTCTAATTGAAAATTTTGTTTGAGAAAAAAAAAAACAAAATTGGGACGGGGGGAAATCATTCTGTCGTAAAATAAGAATTTTGCATTCAAATGATGCTCCAGTTTAATTTTTTATCCCCATATAATACATACATACTTTCTCTTATACATAATGTGCACAATAATATTATTTTATAAATTAAATATTTGAATTACAAAAATATTAAAAATGCAGATTTTCAAAAAAAAAAAAATAAAATTTCCTATATACTCGTATCCTTTTTTTTCCCTTTATTGACCTTTGATAATTATTAACATTTTGAATTTTGTAAAATATTCGAGTACTTGCACAATGTGTAATGAGAAAAATATTAAAAAAAATAAAAATAAAATCAGAACAAATAATATTTAATATTATTTAGTACAAAAATAGGAAATTTTTTTTTGTTTGTAATTTTTAGTCCTTTAATATAAACGAAAATCTAAAAATTTATCATTGAGATTAAAAATAAAAGTTTTTCCACAAAAGTTTTCATCAAATAGGAATGTTGTTTCTATATTTTTGTTTTTTTTTTTTGCAATTTGGCTTTTAACTAACAAAACTTATTTGCATTAAAGCAAGTTGCCATATCTTAGTTTTTATAAAAGTATTTAATTTCTAGTAGGTCAATTTATTCTAATTTTTTAAATTTTTTTTTTAAAACTCGAAAATTTTGTTCGTATGTTCACCTATTTTAAAAAAAAATATTTACACCTTTTAAGATAAAAAATTTTAATTCTATTACAATATGGAATTTTTAATATATTTTCCGAATTTACCCTAGTACCCTAGGAAATCCAAATTCATGTTTCGGAATTCCCAAATTACTGTTTTTCATTATATTCGGAATTCCAGATTATTTGG